CTCCTGGTTCTGTTCATTTCACTATATCATTTCATACAACTTTTCCCAGATTTCTTTGAATTCTTCCCTTTTATAATGTCTTATAGCACAGTAGTATTCCATTACATTTATATACCATAATTTGTTCAGACTATTTCCCAATTGATATTCAACCCTTTGGTTGCCCATTCTTTATCCCAACAAAAAGAGCTGCTATGACTATTTTGGTATAGATATCTATATTTATATCTATTATATATATAGAATATATTTATATAGATATATAGAATAGAGGGCATTGTGTAATTTAACTTTTTAACCATAGAGTTAAGATTGGAAAGAAAGGAAACTAAAATCAGAGTAGGGGCAGAGACTGAGAAAATACTGAAGGTTGGAGAGATTAGAGATCATAATGAGAATAAAAAATAGGTTTTGGAGGGGTGAGGCGTAGGAGAGGAAATAATAATAGAAGGTTGTGATCAAGGAAAACAATGTCAGCTTTTGATCTTTCACATTAGTTAATCTAGGTTTTAACCTTCTCTATGTGTGATTGAGATAGAATGGAAGTGTAGAAAATGGCATATGAGTAGTTTAGGAAATTAGGAGGTTATTGTGTTTGAGGGAGCATCAACAGGTGTGTTGAAGGTCCCTGGTATAAAGGAACTAGGGAGAAGATGAAGACAGTGATCTAGGTACTGAAATTCATGAGAAAGTTGGGGATCCTCATTATTTGGATTTTGTGATAAATTTAAATAGAATGAATCTCAGAAGAAGGAAAGATGAAAACATTTCTCAGTGATGGTGGCAAAAAAGAGAGTTCATAAATGGCAGTGTGGAGCAAGGAGCATTTTGACTACACTCCCCCACCCCACCCTGGACCAGTGTAATGTGAGGGGGACGTTACAGAATGTGCAGTAGGTGATGCAATGTAATTTGAGGGAAGTCAGAAGATGGAAGGACCTTAAAGAAGAGGTCCAAAATTTGGAAGTTTATTCATTAGGAAATGAGAATTCCAAAGGACATGATGGAAAGAGTAGGCAGAGTTGGAGTGGGACATGGGGGAGGAAGAGATGAAGATAAGAGATGATGAGGATGAGAGAACAGCAGGTGAGAATTGGGAAAGAGGTAGTTTCCCCTTATGGCAGTCTATGATTGTGTATCACAGAGATTGGAAGAGTAACAGGCAATGAGAGTTTACTAATTTAAGGGGTAGCTGGGAGTGGGAACTGCTCAGCTGAAGATGGCAAATAATTAGAAGACAATGTTCAGAATCTTCATTTATCTATCTCCTGATCTTGGAGAGGGGAGAGTCAACTCATACTCCTGGATGATCAGGGAAGGAGCTATAGGCAGGCTGGCCAGTGCAGGGCTAAGGCTCAGGACAGTGGGAGAAGGCAACCTTATTGGATTTATCCATTTTAAAGTTAGGGATAGGGACTGCAATTTCATTGGGGTATGGAGTTCCCAGTGAAGAACTTCCTATATCAATGCTTGTTTTTTTGGCACCTTCTCTGCAACTTATATTCTTGAGTTGCCCAATTTTGTAAAACAGTTTGAAATTATGCCATGAAAGTGACTAAAACTTTCATACCCTTTGACCCAGAGACTGCATTGCTAGCCACCTGCCTAAAGGAGATCGTTGTTGTTGTTTGTTATTTGTGTGTCGTCCTTTGTTTTTTGAAGAAGACCAATGACATCATGAAAGTGATGTCTTGACTTGCATGTGAATTGGATTTAAGTGAGGCAGAGCTGCACAAAGTCATCAGACTCACTCTTTCCTCCAGAGTCATCAGAATCCAGTGGCAAGACAAAAGTCAAGATGAATGGCAATGGCCCAGGATATACTGAGTGACCTTGACCTTTTTAAACTAAAGTCTTTCCTTGGTCTCAGTTTGTCTGAGGCAATGCTCACTCAGTGATTAAGGACTAGGTAAAAACTGAGACAAAAGATGGCCTCCTTCGCTATCACAAAACAATCAATTTTGGAGGGAAAGACCCTTAGAGTTTCTGGCCAGAACAGAAAACAATAACTATTTACATTCTCTCTGAGTCATCAAAACCCAAACAATGAGTGAGAGAGGCTTGGGCTGGGACCTATTCATTGGCCATTCCAGAGTGATTTGGATTTAAAGGAGTAGTTAAGTAGCTTGATGTGAATCCCAATGGGCTTTTCCAAAGCCTGTTTTTTCAGAGCTATATTTCAAGAAATCATAAATGAAAACTGCAAAACAAAGAGTTAATTGGCCCAGTTTTTTGAAAAAAAAAATGATGAAACAAATAAATAAGAAATTAAAAATATCCAGCTCCCAAACCCCAAGATATAAAATATAAGTGACTAAAAATTATATTCCTTTGGAAAGATCACCCACATGTATGATGCCCCAGATGGGGAGAGGGACCACATGTGGCAAGGGAAAAGAAGAAGAAGAAGAAGGAGGAGGAGGAGGAAGAGGGGGAGGAGAAAAATAATCAAAAACATAATCGAGGTTGTTTGGGCTATAGACATCTCAATACAAGAGTTACACATACTTTTAGGAAAGGCAGAAAGGACAATGCAAAACTAAGCAAATAATAATATGGCTCTCCATAATGGTTAGAATTATTGCCATAATGTTCAGTCTTTTTAGCCTCAGAAACTAATTCATTCTCATTGTGCATTACATGCACTGGTTAAATAGAAGTGCCATGAAAAACGGATGCTGAGGGGATTTGTTATAAGTGTCTTAATTGCCTCAGTGCCTTAATTGAAGTAATACCTGATTTTACATTAGAAAATAACAGACACTGGGAGAATAGGTCTTCAAAAAATAATAATAATGCATCCTCATTATAGTAATGGCTTCAAAGTCAACATATTTAATTAAGGTATAGTTGGGCAAGTGGCCTTTTGATTTCATCTACATCTTCCAGTGCCAGAGTATACAGTGATACTTTGTTTTCAGGAAACTACGTAGAGAATATTAATAATAGCCAGAATTTACTTTAATTTGAGCTTTGCCAAGTGCTTAATATCCATTACCTCATTTGATTCTCACAATAATTCTGGAAAGCAGGTGCTATTATAATCTTTAATAGATGAGGAAACTGAGTCTGAAAAAAGTTTGGTGATTTGCCCAAGACTAAACAGTTTGTAAGTTTCTAAAGGATTCAAGTGCTGTCTTGCCTACCTGCCTCATTAGGAGACTTGAAATTTTATTGGGAAAATGTAGTACATATTAAAAATGTTTCTCTTAGCTGCCAAAATGCCAAGTTTAGGCACTTTTGGCAGCATGCCATCCTCACTTGTCTCATCTCATCCCTTTGAACTCCTGAACATCCTACAAGAATCAGCTTAAATATTACCTCCTCCGTTAAAGGCTTCCCTGATCCTTCCAAATCAGAATAGATGTTGCCATTACAGCAACCATCATGGCATTTTTTTTTTGGTACATCTCTTTTGACACTTAGACATATCTACCATGTATTATAATTCTTAGAGTATATTCTTATCTCCTCTACCAGATTTTAAGCTCCCTGAGGTCAGGGCCTTGGTTTTATTTCACTTCTTATCTCCCCAGAGCCTAGCATCATATCTAGTACATAGTAGATGCTTCAGAAATAAATTTATAATAAGTTAGTTAAATGTGCACCTACCTCAGTGTTGTAAGATTAAATGAGCATTTGTAGTTTATAATGGAAAGTTCTATAAAACTGTTAAATATAATTATCATTATCTGTTATCTATAATACTGTTTCAGATAAAACAATGTTTTAGAAAATGCCAGCAAAAAATTATAATCTGAGATAGATAGCTGAGTCAAGTCTCATTTTATCCTAGGAATCTACTATTAAAAATTAGCCAATTTTCAACTGCTTGAGGAAAATGTGGTAGGAAAATTTTTACTCAAATGCAAAGGAAGGGGAAATATCACATGTCATCATTTGTATGTAGTATATGTGAACTAATACTGGTAGATTTCTAATACTCATGTAATAGCTGAGATTTTTCCCCACTCCTTTCACTTCATGTCTTACTAAAAACTATATTTAAGCATTTCTGTATGACTTGTAGCTCTGTAGAATGTGCTTTGGGGCATTTGAAAATCTGGTCTCTAAAAATAGTACTACCAATTTTTAAAGGATGAATCATATTGCTATCAGGTTATAAAACTGTTTTGTGAAAGTGACTGACTTAATTGCCTGATTTTCCTTCATTTTGCTGATAGATTATCGTGTGTTCATCAATTGGTTTCTTAATTTGCACAAAGAAAATGGAATCTCAGAAGTAATTGAAACTATTTCAGTCTGTTGCTGTAAAAAAATGCAAATGATTTCCAATTATTTCTACTCATATGATACATGATTTTTTGTATAGATTTTTCAGTCTGTACACATGGCTTTTTAGGTTAAATGAATTTTAACCCTTATACTGAGAAGCAAACTTTAGCCAAATGGTTATTATAGATGTGGTGTTCATATTTTAGGAAAATGTTATTAATTTGGGAGAATTCCTAAGAAATTCCATCACACAATATTTCTAATTATTATGACCATTTTACTTGCCATTCTCCCTTGATTTTTCTTTCCATTGGTCTTTTTAAAAGTATTTTATTTTGGTATAGTATATATCAGTGAGGTATAGGAACTAATTATTATTATTTTTATGAAACACAAATACATATGTAGTAGTTTAATGCATTCACTGAATTTAAATGTTTATATACTGCAGCTAATTTTTGAATTGTTATTTGTTGGCCGTTTAGAGGGCCAGATAGATTGATTGGTTCCTAAATGCCATATAATTACTCTTTCTTCTTAAATGCTGTTGACCCCTTTCTGCAGGTCTTAGCAAGGCAGACAATTCATAGATAACTTAGAAATTCAGTCAAACTGTGATAAACTATTCCTCCAACCCTTTTATCATTCATCTAAATGCTTAAAGTCAATATTATGATACTAATAACACAAAAAGAAAAACATGTTCAAAGATCAATATTCTTTTTTTCCAAATATATTCTTGAAAAATGTAGTTTATTATTTACCTGATTCACATGGTCCTTTGTGTTTTATGCTAACATTTGTTTTCTTCTGAGAATAAATCTCATTGAACTGGCAAATATTCTCATAGGTCTTCCCCTCAGGTCCACAGACACTTTCCTGGGATCCACAAACACACTGTGGTTCAGGAACTTCCCCATACTCCATCACCTCAGTATCTAAAATGCACTCCAGGTTTTGTCCACACTGTCCATAGAAATGATTGCTGCCGTCCAAGTCACAGATCTGCCCTTCTCTATTCCCGCATTCAGAGCAGCAGCCACAACGGTCTAACACAGTCCCAGCCAGGCAGTTTTCAGGCTGAGAACAAAGTTCTAAATCACATTTTCCACAGTTATCTCCTTCCCTTAATAATCTCAGCCAGCTTCCATCATACAAGGTGGGAAGACTCTGGAAAACTTGTATCAGGACCATCAGCATTGCTGTGCTTACTAGAGACTTCATTTCTAAAATGAAATGAACACAAGCCTAGGATCTTTGGTTTTAAGCCAAAGAGGGTGGAAAAAAACCACATTCCTTCCTTTCCTCCTTCTTAAAACAAATCTGTAGCAACATAGATTTAAAAACAAAATTAACATCAGATTTCAGGTCTGGAATAGATAAGTAAAATATCCAAATCTGCAAGTATTCTTCTGGGTTATAATTTTGAGAAAGACTTTGCTTTGTATATAAGACAAAACTCTTCTCTTGACAGTAGAACTGTAGCTCTCTAAAATGCCTCTGACTTTTATAGGCTCTGTAAGGCTAATCTGAAAGCACTTAATGTAATAGAATACAACTGTGTTGTGACTATTTAATATAAGCCTCACTTTCCTTATCTGGGGTATAGTAGAAAGAAGACTGAGTTTTGAGTTGGGGACTGAGGTTTGTATCCTAGCTGCACTTGGCACATCCTTTAACTTCCTTAAATGAAGGTGTTGAACTAGATGAAATGAGCTTTAAGTTTTTTTTTCCCAGCTCAAATCTGTGATCCCATGATTGTATGATTAGCTGATCTCTAAAGTCCCTTATGAGTCTATAATTATTAAGTATTAATGTTGTGAGCATATATATATCATGGAGCTTAGCTATAAGGGTTATTGCTAGAATACCAAAAGACTATAAACCAACCTAATTGACATCAAAGCACTAGGGGTCAAGTGGGATTTTCTACCATTGTTAATATACCATGAGGCCATCATAAACATTAAATAATAATAATTCATGATCATTATAACAATAACAGTGCATCTGTGAAATAAATTATTCTAAGAACAATTAATATATTTCAGCACTGTAAACATTTGTCCATATATTGCTCTATTGGCCTGTCTGTGACTCTTGTTAAATCATGCAACTGCTGTCTGCAGAACAGTGATTTAAATTAGACATATAGATTTCCATCTAAGTAAGACAGATGAAGTGAGATAACAGAGAGGGAAGAGCACAGCTTAGGGAGCATAGGGAATTGATTTTGGTTTTCTTTATACAACTGGGGTCATTTTTCTTAGATTCATCATCTGGTATTGATTGGTCTATTGAAAGCAAGGAGTAAGGTATAGGAGTAAGATACAAAAGAGGCAGATTATGAGGAGGATTTGGATGAGAAACAGCTGAGCTGGACAATGAAAAATGAAAGGGACAAATGCCAGACATGGGTTGCTATGTTGAATAAGAACTGCTAAAAGATTAATTAATAATAACAACAACAATAATGACAGCAAACATTTACACAGCACTTAAAGGTTGCAAAGCACTTTACATACATTATCTCATCTAATTTTCACAACAACCATGAGAGGCAGGTGCTATTATTCTCATTTTACAGAACAGGAAACCAAGGCACAGAGAGGTTAAGTGAAAAAGGATGAATTGCTGAAAGTAAAATAATAATCATAATCTAGCACTTGCATAGCACTTAAAGGTTTGCAAAGCACTTTATGTGTTATTTCATTGATCTTCACAACAAGGTGCTTTAATTCCCATTTTACAGAATAGGAAACTGAAGCACAGAAAGGTTAAGTGACTTTTACAGGGTCGTATAGCTTGTAAGTATCTGAGGCAAGTTCAAACTCAGGTCTTTCTGATTTCAAGTCCAATGTTCTATTCACTACACTACCTAGTTTCCAGGAAAAGGAATGATCTACATAGAGTAAAGGGGGTGGAACAGTAAGGTAAATAAAATGAAGTCTTGAGCCCTCTCTTCCCTTCTCCCCCTCGACCCATTCCAATTCTAAAGAAAACTACTATATAAACCTCCCTGTTTTGTATCAACAAATCTTGGAGAAACTCTCCCTGTCCCCCAGGCTATTCTGGTGGGAATCAGGATAAGATTATACTCATTTAGGAATGGGTGCTAGAGGTCAATCAAGCATTTATTAAGTACCTTTTTATCTGCTGTATTCAAGCAACCTCAGTGGTGGTAAGAGATCCATGCCTTCACTGGGGCTATTAGTGGAAATCTCTTCCTCCTTCTTCCCCTCCCCCTTCCCATAACTCATTTATGGAAATAGTTGGAGGACTGAATAGGCATAATAGGGGAGCTACAAAATTCATAGACATTGTCTCTGTCCTGAAGGAGATTACAATATAATGAATTCAATACTGCCAATAAATGAATTAATAATTTATATTAAATACTTATTAAGAACACACAGTTGAAATCCACACTGGAGGTGACAAAATGTTTAAGACATTTAGGGATAAATTTTCAATATATTTTAATAAAATAATAGTTCCCCCCAAAATGAAAAATAATCATGAATGGTATTATTATCCCAAAAGACAACTGAAATGACATCACATGGTCTCAGGAGAGGTAGAGAAGGAAGTGGTTCATAGGCCCTCTTTCCTTATTGCATGGTATGAATGAAGGCATCTTTCAACTTCAAATGCAAATGCCACAAAAAGTCCCCAGTTTCTGAGCCAGGCTAATTTTAAAGATGCTAACAGTTCTGGGTTTGCAACCAATGGAAAAGGGCTGTTCTCAACTATGTGGTAAGCCAGTACAGAATGTCCACTCATACTCTAGTCTCCCAGAAGTAGATTCTCAATGTCTTCTATGTGTATGACACTAGCTTAGGTAGTCTAGGCATGTACCAAAGCCCCATTACATATATAAAATCTCCAACAGATTTCACATGCTAGTGCGGAAGGAAACATTCTGTGGACATCTCCTTTTCTGAGGTGAGGAAGACTATCCCAGTTAGAATACCTGCCTCTCACAGATCCATCTCCCAATAATCACTTGCCCCAACTGCTTCTCTGTTTTGACTCTTGTCGCCTTCTTGGCATGATATTGTAGCTCCCATTGTTCTGCCAATCCATGTTGCCTCTGTAGCCACTGCTTTCAACCTCCATAGCTGTTACCTGCTGATAAACCATTTTCCCTGAAGTAGTTTTGGAGATCTCATTTCTTTCTGTAAAATTACATCAGGTCAACAATCTCGGGCTAGTTCGTACATTTTCAACCATTTTGTCAGTCAGGTCTCACTATACTTAGCTGATAAAAATAGGGTCAAGACTTTGCCTCTTTATACATGTTCTCACTCTCATAGAAATGGAGTAGAACCAGGGGAACAATTTATACCATCATAGCAACATTGTAAAGACAAACAATTTTGAAAGACTTAAGAACTCTCACCAACGTAGTGACCATTCCTGATTTCAAAGAACCAGTGATAAGCATGCTACCCATCCTCTGACAAAGAAGTGATGGATTCAAGATATGGAATGAGACATACATTGTTGGACAGGACCAATTAGTTTTGAATTAATTTTTAATTAAATTAATTTTGAATTATAATTAGTTTTGCTTGACTATGCCTATTTTTACAAAGGTTTTGTTTTTCCTCATATTTCAGTTTGGGATGGATAGGAGGGAGAGAAAATAAATGTTTGTTAATTAAAAAAAAAATAAAAGACACTGAAAAAAAAACAAAGTTTCTAGTTCTTGGCTGTAATTGAGTTAAGGCAGATCAATTCCTTACACCACTTCCCTGTGTGCCCCGCCTTCTTCTCCCTCTTCTTTCTCTCTCCCCCCCAACATGATTCATAACTACTAGTAAGCTTTTCTGAGGTTGGATATAAACCATGTACTATTTTTCATTTACTCTTTCACCTCCCATAATAGCTTTGGCAGCTAACAACCAGACTGTACAGATTGCCTAGAAGTTTTGTCTTGATAAGCTTCAAAGTAATCAAGGAGGCACTTAGTCATACTGGAGGATGAGGGTAGAGCTGAGGACCTTTGCCCTGAATTCCTACTCTCATAGTATTCTTGCTTCTCTTAAGTATATCTTGAAGACCTACTATGTACCCATTACTATGTTAAGTACTGCAGAGAACTCGAAGGGAGGGTTAAGACACAATCCCTACTCTCTTTTAATTTAGAGTTGCACTTGGCTTCTAAGCAAAATGTAATTTTAGGCAAGGTGGGTGAAAGGTAGACTTGCTACATCTCTCTCAACACACAATAAATCAATTCCATTAAGGGATGGTCATTAATATAAAGAAATAGATGAGAAAAGAAATAGAGAGGCTGACTCTAAAGGTATTACCTTTCCACAAAAAAAGGAAATTCCTCAGAATCCTCATACTCCTTTTTTGTTGTTCATGTTGCAGGAGTAACTAAGGAGTTTTATTGAATTCAATTCTAGGACTGAAAGAGTGTGTTATTCACAACCCCTTTCTGGGAAAAATGGGGCGTTTCAGAGCTCCTCACTGTAGGTTATTAGTGTGGAACATTCTTTGTAACCAAGTTGGAGTTTCTAAAAAAAAAAAAAAAGGAGCTTTGCTAAATGTATCTAGCAGGCATTTTGTCTTCCCTTAAATAAAATAAATTCCCTTAATAAAGCCAATGGAGTCAGGGTTTGGGGGGGGGGGTGGTGATGGTGAGGGTGTTTATGATTAATTACAGAAGAAGAAAGAAAGACTTTATGCTGCTGAACTATCTTCTTGGAACTGCTGGCTCTAAAACCAAGCTGTACATTGGATTCCCTTTTTTGTGCCAATCTTACATTTTTAAAAAACATAACTTTTATGAATATCATCATTAGTGCTATAAGCACAGGGAAGTATAAGTTAATTCTACAGTAAAGTGATTATTAAATCCATTAGTCATATACAGGGGATCCATAATTAACTTATTCTCCAGCATCAAGTAAATGATTCTACTGTGTGCTTTAAGAAAGCAATTGTTCACTAATATGCAAAATACAGCAAGGCTATTAGATCATAAAACCATGCAATCTTATAATTAAATTATAAATTTTACATATTTTAATAATGTGCTTTATATATTTTAATTGTTTTCTACATAAGATTAAAAGGAGATGCCACAATTTTTCTCAGACATATTATATCTAGCCCTGAATGGTACAATGCTTAATAATAAGTGATGAGTATCTACTGCGGATGACAGCAGTCTTTCAGGA